ACTTTTTTTGGCTTTTATTCACAGATCCCAGTTCTTTGATTTCGCCTTTTTTTGTTGTTGTTTTTTTTTTTTTCATAAGTTCAGGTTTAAGCGACCCTCGTGAAATAAACGAGCTGCTACAGGAGCATAACGCGAAGGAAGCAGAACTGAAAATTAGCGCATCGAAAACGAAGGTGATGCAAAGGGCCAGTATGCCCATAGCGAGGCTGCACATAAGCGGTGTAGACTTGGAAGTTGACAGCTACGTCTACCTCGGACAAGAAATATGCGCCAAAATCTCCAGCCGGAGGCTGCAAGTCGAACGGCTGCCAGTCGGCGCAAATCCCACAAACTCGTCAAAATACTCAAAGTGTTGAAGCGGAAGGACCATGCTGATCTTTTCAATACCACTGCGTTGAAGGCACGGATGTGAAACGTAAAACGTGGTCAATCATGAAGATCGAAGAACGAGCGCCGGCAGCGACGGAGAGAGCAATGGAGCGAAGAATGCTTGGTGTACCTCTCGACGACCATATAAACAATCAGACTCTCCGTCAGATGAGCGGCGTACAGGATAATAAATTATGGCCATTAGAAAACCGAATCATAATCTTAAAAAAAGGGAGTGGGCGGCCGACAGAAATCAAAATGCGGAACGGTCGGAGTCAGAAAGTTAAAACGAAGGGTGGGGTAAATTTGTTCGATGAGGAGGAAATTTTGCTCGCCTTGCTGACAACCGTTGGACAACGCGTATTAGCGAATGGTAATTGCGAGAAAGTAAACGACCACTTGAGTGACCCCGATGGGATGGCGCACATACATCGAATAAGCGGTGGGTGCTAACTGAAGGTATGCAGCCTTGGGTCGAACAGCCGGGCTTTGGCTAAGCTTGTCGTGTAGGGGCATTCCAGCAACATCACTGATAGAGGAATTTACAATGACAGCCCAAGGGGACATTCTTGGATTAGGTATTCTTGGATTAGGTACGAAACCTAACCCAGGCGGGAACGCACCAGGCAAGCCGGTGCGGTACCCCATCAAATTTCCCTGCCCTTGCCTCACCCCCTCCACTCGCTGTTTCCGCCCCTCTCCCCTTCCCCCGCCCCCACCTTGGACATCCATCTTCTCGAAGCGGTGATATTGTGCTGCATTATACAGTACAATTACAAAGCGGTATTCTGTGAGTACAGTACGATGAGATATATGTGGTGCACGACCCCCGCTGAGCGGTCTAACGCCGCTCACTCGTAGGGTTTGTTTGATTGAGGGGTGGGAGGGGAGGAGGGGAGTGGGCGGTCGTGCGTGGTGTTGGGC